GAAAAAAAACAGGCTCGTGAATTACAAACTCAACTTGATGCTGCAGTTCCATAGTCAGAGGTCCTTGTTGCAAAATACAGACTGAATGGTACTTATTAACAATTCTGGTAAGTGATAAGACTTGGGGATCATACAGCAATGTATGGAAAACTGTGGACACAGTGCTTACAAAGAACGCAAACAATGTCAAAACTTAGCAAGGAGTGAACTTGATCAGGTGGGACTGTGAACTGCATTGGGAGTACCGTCATAGGAGACTTTCAAAATGACGGAAAATCGTGAAGCAACTGAAACAAGACTTGTTGATCTGTGATGTTCTGGCAAATGCGTAAAAACTGAAGGTAATACAGATGTGCCGGTCTGGTCTGTTGGAGGCAGCTGAATTCAGAGATGCCAAAGGGTCTGCTCGAAAAAACCTGAACTGTTTTAACTGTGCCACACAGCACCAAAGTGTACAAACGAGTGTAGAGAGCAGAGCACATAACGACCGGGGTTCTTTATAGACATCGATCGACAGCTTGTCCTGCCAAACCACATAGGCACAACCATGATGTAGTTGGCTCCCGGCTTGTAATGTACAATATTCCCATTTATACCATCACTGTGACTGGGAACCACTGACTGACATGATAGTCTTGAACTCAAGGCTGTGTGATAAATGTGCTCAGCATGCTAACTGCCCGTATCAAGCACAAATCAACTCACACGAGGTGGGTGTTCAGACAGTTCACTGCACTACGCAGAACTTGTTACGCGTGGCGCTGCTAGAACTCTGGTTGTTTCAACAATCATAAAGGCATGTAGGTGCAGGCAGCGCGTGCCGCTCGGCGATGAAGCCTACCCAGCCTTGTTTTTAAGGCTAACAAAGATACAGAGCTACACATGCATGCCATTCATGTAGAGTGCGACTGTCATCAAACTCTAAATGATCTCAACATGAAAATAAACACATTACCATTTGTGATTTCTTTTCTGGCCTTTTCTCTTGAGCAAGAAGGGAAAAAAAAGGAAAATCCAGATAAAAACCAGAAAAGTGGCCTCTCTGTGAATAAGTGTCATTATTGAATCTGGTCACCGCGGTTGAAAAGCTAAGACTGTAAGGTTGCCCGGCCTTGTTGGCTCTCCATTCATACACATTGAGCAGGTTCTTTACCCTGAAAGTAATTGGACGTCACTAAGTCGAGTGCAGCCATGTTCCCAATTGGATTTTTTTTGGGTAATTCACATGAGATTTTGCTGTAGGCTGACAAAATTAAATCCAGCTGGGACATGCAGTAATTAACCTAATGTCCCTTTCGACTTTAATACTGTGACTTATGTAAAACTACCAGGCCGAAAAGGGTCGCGGAAGATTTCTGTCTCGCCGTGGTAAGTTAGCAGAGGTGCTGAAAGGTTGAATGAGACCAGTTCCGTGAGGTAGATTCACAGCGACCACCCTATGCACCTCCAAACAGGACAGCTGATTGTTGCAGACGGATCAACAGCGGGCAACGGAAAATGATTGTATGGTTCCCAGTCTCCTTGCATACAGCTCACTATGGCATGCCCAGACATTGAAGTGTGCCCCTGCAAAGCTATACACGCATGTGTACGGATACATCTCGTTCCATAAAGGGTGGCAGATTTGACCGAATTTGTCAGATTTTGCCGATTTTATCATATAACCCTTGGGTCAAAGGTGATTTGCATAGTGCTCGTCTTGCACAGCGAATAAACGCTCCGTTACGGTAAAAAAAGAGTCCATGTGGGAATGTGCAGTATATTGACGAGATTGACGTGAAGGAATGTGGTGGTAAGTTTCCGCATGGCCGCGGAAGTAAAACTCCAATGGGAACACGGCGAAAGATTTCAGCCACTGTCTGCACACTGAACACTCCTGTCTATATTGTACTGTTCACATCTTCGGAGCCTTCTCTAGCTTCATATTAAGCTATCTGTCCCTCTTTCCCTTTGGATTTTTTTT